CCGGTTTGGAAGCCAAGCGCTTTACAGCTCAGCTACCGCGCCTCTCCTGGCCTAATATTATGTTATATTTATATATTATAATCTTATAATTGATGCAATTGTTTTGAAAAGGCTCAATCTCTTATTCGAATCCTAAAAAGAAAAAAAAAAAATACATTCGCAATAGTATGCCTTTGTTTAAAGTTCAAGAATATGAACTTTACAAGTATACTATTCGTTTTAATTTAGGTCTAGCTTATAATGCATACTAATTAGCTTTTTCTCTTTAAAAAACTACCTGCATAACTGATTTTTAAAATTAGATTTTTCGCTTAAGAAAAAAAAAAGTAGCCGTTGCATCAGAACTTTGAATGGTCTAAAATATTGTGATGTCGGATTTTCAATATCTCTTCTAGCTTACGAGATCTAAACGGGACGGACGGACAGACATTTCACACAAAACTAATAGCGTCTTTTCCCCTTTCGGGGGCCGCTAAAAATGTTCACTCTTCTTTTTAAAGAGAAAAAATCTATTTAATATGCATATAATTGGAAAATAATTTAAAACAATAATTAATAAGTAGTATTATCGCGTGAACTGCGGTAGTGGCCACTTCCCATAGAACACTAAACTAAAGGAAGTTTTTTATTCTTGAGGCTTTGAATAAGAGACTGTCCCTTTACAAAACAATTAGATCAATTAGATATTCATTATATGACATCAGTTAGGCCAGGTTCACATCAAACTTCACTTTTACTTATCCCTTTTCTGCTGGACCATTGGGGCACAACATAAGATAGGTCAACCTTCTTTCTCCATTCCTCTCTGTCATTAGCCTTTGAATGAATTTCATTTTGATATTCTTTCTGAAACTATTGAAACCTGGCTATTAACCTGCCTGGGTGGACCACTTCGGGGGCCGATTTTGAGTTTGTATTTCCACACAAACTGTCTTTGTAATCTTGTTTTTCTAGACTTCATTATTTAGTATTGGTTTATGGTTTGTTGTTTTGTGGATAGTGAGAAGAAGATATATGTTTTTTTATTTTGTGTTGATGGTCATGCCTCATTTGGAGTCTTCGGACCACTCACTGAGTTTATCGAGGGCGTCTTGTAGCTTATTAACGCGGGATCAACTGCATACTTGCTGCTTTTAATTTTTCTAGTTAGGTTTTGGTTTAGATCATTAATGTATAATAGGAACAATTTAGGGGACAGAACTTCTCCTTAGAAAAAACTATCTTTTATGCCCACTGTGTGACTTCTTTTCCCTTGCATGCTGACCAAAGCTTTTCGATTGTTCATATATTTTTTAAACAGTTGAGGGTTATGTGGGATATGTCGCTTTATTGAAAAGTAAAGGCCTTGTGCCAAAACTTTATCGAATGCTTTTTCTACGTGAACCCCACCAATCGTTGTTGGCGTCTTTCCTTGAAATTCATCTCTTGTGTGATGAAAGCAATTTGTCGAAAACCAACTAGGATTTCAGTAAGTTGAGTAAGTAGAATATTATAGACTCAAGGATCCAAGTGAGTCTGTTTATTCACCACTCTATCAATAGGTTTGCATGTACAACTGTTGAAGATAATTAGGCGGTAGCTGTCGAGTTTGTTTCTTTGTTTGCCATGCTTTAGTATGGAGATCAAGATAGCTTTCTCCAGATGTTTGGAATTCAGCCTGATTTCTAGCTTTCGATAACTATTTTTTACAGTTTTTTTTATTCAGGACCTAAATGAAGTAGCTTGTCATTAGTGATTTTGTCACTAGCGCTTGTTTTAATTTGAGGTCATTTAGAGCTTCATCTATTTCCTTAATTTTTAGGTTTGTTATCATCCATGGGGAGTATATTGTTTTGATAACCTGATTCTCATCCTGGATTTCTGTGAGGATATTTTTAAATTAATCCTGCTTTCATTGATTTGTACATAATCTACACTTAGAAAATATTTAATGAATTCGTTTGTTGCTTATTGGCCTTTCAGGGGTTGGTTGTCAGATTCTATGACTATAGTTGATCTGTTTTCTTCTTGGTTTAGGCATTTTGTATTGTGCCATAGCTTGTGGCCGTCTCTATCTACATTTAGTCGTTCAGTTTTTTATGCTAACTTTTCTTATAATCTTTTCTTGCTCCTCTTGGTATAGACCTCTCAGCTGCTAAGAGAACTCCTTTGAAGAAAGCTGAGAATGATTTATTTACCTGGTTTGATTTATAGTTTATTGATGTGGTGTATAGGCCTGTTAGTTTTGAGAATAGACTTCAGTTTGCTTTTTGTAGCTCCATCTGGGGATTGTGGAGTTGTGTGTTTTGTAGGTGGTATCAATTCTGAAGAGTATGGGCATGTAGTCACTTGTGACTAGCTGATCAGCTACATGGAAGCTTGAACTTGGCTTGGCTTGACTATCTATGAAGGGGGCTCGATGTTCAACACCCGAGTCGGACAGAGTTGTGTTTACTGAGCGCCTAAGGGCAGCACGAAAAAACCTCTTCCTAGCTAACCCCCCCCCCCCCCCCACCATTGGTCCACAATTGAGATTGGACCAAAGCGCTCTGAGCATTCTATAAGCATGAAAGTAGCGCTATATAAAAGCCATAATTTATTTATTTATTTACATCTCTTGTGCACTTTTCGGAGATATTGTTGGTTGGATTGGAAAGGCTAGACCGGAAGTGGATGGTGCTAACCATGCTCTTCAGAAGAAGGTTGGTTTATCACCAGGCTTATTTAGCAAGGTAAGTCTATTTTCTGATTGCCATTCTTCGATTTCTTTTCGCTTGGCATTAAGATCTTGTAGACCTAACCAGGAGAATACTTTTCATTTCTCTTATAACCAGACATTTTTCATAGTTGATGATTAAAATCCTTGTCCCGGGGGGGGGGGGGGGGGGGATTAGCAGTGGAAGATATTTAGATTTCCTTCTGGAAAATGATTTTTGTTCCCATTCTTTCTGATTCTGCTGAGTTCAAAGTTATATCTGTTGTTGGAATGTTAATCTTTTAAAGGGTAATGTTTCCTCCTATAGGCTCTGTTTTCTCGGTCTTGTCTGATACAGTTCTAGCTTTTAACGTAGGTGAGCCTGTTTTTTTTTTTAAATCAAATTTAATATTTTTTTTTGATAGCTATTTTACTATGCTACTTTCTATTTCTTTCTCATGAGAAATAGTTGTAGAGCTTTTTCCCGTTTGGATTTCCTCTGCATTCCGTCGTAAGATGTTTAGTCTTGGAGGATTGGCCAGTCAATTTTACTTTCGGTTTCTGCTCCTGACTTGACAAGCAAACAATAACCACCAGCTTTGAGGCGGAGAGCCCGGCCCCTAACAAAATGACGCGACTACACGCTACATCTGTAAGAATCATTTCTGAACTGTAACATAGATGAGGTTGCGTGTCAATGTGTTATGCGCTAGGAGGCCCATTGACTTCGACGTCAGCTGGCTTTTCTTTCTGGGTGTTCTCCCATAGCCTTTGATCAATCAAGATGGTAGCTTTTAAATCAGACAGAATCACGAATCACCACATAAACAACCTGACCCCGGCTATACTTGGCACAGACCAAGCGTTTGTGAAGCAACCACCGTCAAATCTCAACCATCTTTCATTTGAAGTTGTCCTTGATTATTTGATACCCTCTTCTCTTTATTGCAAACTGTATAACCAAAATATTCCTCAGCACTATTCTATATTAAACTAATCACGGCAATCCACACAGGCTCCTGCTATATTACCATGTCAAGTACGCGGGCCACCGCCCATCTTCAATAGAGACACACGGAGAAAACCCTTGGCTGACAGCCGTGGTCTTAGTCGAACTAAATGTGTATTGACATTGGTGAGTTTCGAATTAAAAAAGCTAGGATATGAAGCTTATTAGTACTTGAAAAAAGAAAAAGGAAAGTCTTTGAGTTAGGCGCTCAGTCCCGCATCTCATCACATGGTTTGTAGAGTCAATGGCTGTGATTGATAGATAATAATAATAAATATTTGGAGATCAGAACATATCAATAACAAACTATTAATAGATGCGATCCTATCTTCTCAATTCAAATGTAGACCTTGCATACTTTAAAAAAGTATTTGTTTTCAATTTCTTCCCTCCAAGGCAGGAAAGCTGTTTGTTGCCTGTAAGAATATGGCCGGCGTAAACATTGCAGGATTTTTTAGTAGTAGTAAAAAAGATGGATGAATGAAACACATACTGTGTTTTACTCAAGTACCACTTTAAATAACCAGACCTATTTATTAAATTTTGTTTTAGCAAATGTGTATAAATAAATGGATGTCATGCACATTGTTGTATACACAAGTGACTGTCTTCTCGTGTGGTATGCAAACTGTTGTCACCATCTGGAACCATGTCCGCCGCCCTTTCTTCGTGTTTCCTTAACTTTACTATGAAGTATGTCTTTTGACACTAAGTCATGTCTTACAATATGACCAATCTAGTACAGCTTATGTCTCTTTACATTATTGAAGAGTACCTAACCTTTTGCAAGTCAGAAAAATGATTTGAGCTCATTTTTCTTCTTTTCCTGGTATCTAGCATTTTTCTGTAGCATTTTACTCTAAAAAGGCTTGAATTCTTCTTTTAACCCCAGCGTTCAATGTCCAACTTTCACAGCAATATAGAAGTACAATGATCATTAACGAAGAATACTGTTTTAATTTTACATTAAAGTTAATGTCACTCTTCCAGATTTCAAGAGTTCTCTTATGACATAGTATGCCAAGCTTAAACGGGTTTCTATGTCTTTTATTGATCCTATTGATACTCCATCTATTGTTTGGCCATTTAAAAGTATGCAGTTTCTCGTACCAACACCAACACTAGCTGGTAATTTGCTTTTTCAGCACTGATTTCTATGCCAACTGCAATGCAGCAATCCTATTTGAAGTCTGCAGAAAAGGTTTAAAAACAAAATGGTGGCTCACCATAGAAATGGGATCGCTAAAAAGGTTAACTTTTTTTTTTAGTTCTTTATTCGTTTTCATGTTTCATTGCTAAGGACGAAACCTGTTTGGGGGGGGGGGGGGGAACATACCCGGAATGTCAATGGATTTAATGTATGTCTAGGCATGAGTTAAAGAAACGAGAATTGTGTGGGTGAAATCACAAATAGCTTTATTTGATGCGATGAGTTCTTGAGAGGAGTATAACGCAAACGTATACCAAGACAAAGACAAGCTAGAGCCACATACTAAGATAATCAATTAGTCAGTTATAGAGTTCATATAAATTCAGATGTCAACTTACACAATTAGATATAATGGATGGGCATGTAAATATAATCAGACGCTAACATACACAATTAATAACATATTTGCTAAATATAAATTCAGATACTAACATTCTAAACTTGTGGCCGACTCATTAAATATTCATTTAGATGCTAATACACACAATTATGAAAACTGACTTATGATGTCAAAAGTAATCAAACTAAAGCTTGCTAACAATGTATTATGATTTAGCCTAAGCAAAAACATTTTTTACACATAGGCTACTGTTTCATTTAGAATATCATTATTAAATTTATAACTATTATGCATATTAAAATGAACAATTATGGAAAATTGAAGATTTGATGGGGAAAAAAAGATTGTTCGAAATCAATATTGGAAATATATCACTGACTAATTATCTGGCTGCATGTTTTTATTTTTTTGTCTTATATGAATATAATTGTATCATTGGAAGTGTAGACTATAGAAAATTTAACCAAAATCTCTATCAAAAGCATGCATTCCCTTTCACATCAGAAGCAATATAAGAAAAATAATGACCACATTTCATATTTCTTTGAGTAGCCACTAAGAATGAATTTGATCTGATAATGCTAAGCACTGTCTGTTTCGTGTGAATTTTTATTTAACTTATGACCGTAAGCTCGACTTTCAATGCCACCTGGTAAGATAAATCTTTTGTCGTCGTATGGTGAGAGCGTGACTCTGACCTTTGCGACGGTGCTGAGTTTGTGCTGTTTGCTTTGAATGCTTGTGGTTACGGCTTGCTGCTGTACTTGGTTGAATAAACAGCCCTTGTAATCATCAAATCGAAGTTTCTGTTGTTGAATTTCTTTGCTTACACCCTGAGCTGCCTTCTTTTCAGAATCACCGTACTTTAAACAGTACATTTTGGGTCGCAGAGCTACAAAAGCGTCTACTGGAACACCCTGAGTCTCGTCCTTCATTTTACCTACAACGTTCTTGTTGTGTTCATCATAGAGAGGGTGATCCTTTGGGTAGTTGGAGAAGTCGTACAGATCACCATCTTTTTGCATGTCGGAGTAAATGTCTTCGGTCTCTATTTCATAACACAGCGAGTCTGTGTCTGTAAATAAAAGTTTGGCTTTTCCCCCATATTTCTGTTGGATGTGACAGTAGTGAAATTTATAGATAAACGCTTTAGCCAAGTCAAGAACAGTAACTCCTACATGTATGGGTTTATCCAGTTTTACTGTTCGTTGTCTAAGCTCAAGGGCAACAAGATCTTTGTTTATGATTCTAAAACATTCATAGAGAGGCTTGCAGGTAAGTTTCTTTAACTTTTCTTTATCAGTAACTAACTTAACATTTTTATACTTTCGAACATTTTCCAATGTTTTGCCGTAAACACTGTTGTTCATTAGTTTAAAAAAATCTTTTTGTGAGACGTCCGATGACTGCTTTCTTTTCTCTGTGTTAAAATCAATGTAAGGTTTGAGCCAAGCTGTTTGATGAAATGATATAACACGATGAACTTTGGTTAAATTCATTCCAAGTTTGAGATACAGTTTCAGAGTTCGATAATGAACAACATATTTTTCTTTGTTCATTAAATTAGGGATCAGTTTATCTCCACCTGGTTCTTTTATGTGAAATTTGTCTAAAAGTGTTTTGCAATAAGGCGACAACATTTCCTTTGTTAAATTAATTTTTTCAGGTGCTAGTGGAAAGTCATTGTGTTGGTCATGAAGCTCCTCTGGGTACTCTAGATCTACTTCAAGAATGTAACCTGTTTCTGCATCGTCACTAATGTTTTTGATATCGAGGCTGGAAATGTCTTCTTCTGTAAGCCATTTAAAATCTTTTAGTGGCAGTGGTTGAGACATGGCCCAGCCATACAAATTGTTAGCATCTAAATAAATGATCCACTTTCTCTTTGTCTTGTCAAATTTGTTCGTGTTTTCAGATATTGTTAGATTGTTTGCTTCAGAATATGTCGCTTCAGACATTGTTGGATTACTTGCTTCAGACATTGTTGGATTGTTTGCTTCAGAATATGTCTCTTCAGACATTGCTGGATTACTTGCTTCAGACATTGTTGGATGGTTTGCTTCAGAATATGTCTCTTCAGACATTTTTGCATTGTTTGCTTCAGAATATGTCGCTTCAGACTTTGTTGGATTACTTTCTTCAGATATTGTTGCATTGTTAGCTTCAGAATATGTCTCTTCAGACATTGTTGGAATACTTGCTTCAGACATTGTTGAGTTGTTTGCTTCAGAATATCGCTTGGTTATCATTGCCACACCTCCTCTTTTACCACTTTCTATCATTTCAAACATATCTGCGTCTGTTAGAAGTTCCAGTTCTACATCTGATTTCATGAGTGCTGCCTGCCATGCAAGCCCTGGAGTAGAATAAAAATGTGCAGGATCCAGACTATACTGCTGTAATGAAGTTTTGCGAAAATGTTCAAATACATCAGCCAGATGAGCTACGTCTGTTTTAACATACAAATTATGATAATCTTTGAGTGTTTTAAAATTAAATGCTTTCCAAACTTCCTCAACTTGAGCATAATCCTCTTTGGAGATGTGCACATTTTTAAGACTATTATAAAAACATGTTTTATTAGGTAAACTTTCATCCTTGAAAACTTCAAATTTAGTAAAGTATTCATATGGATACACTTGTTTTCTTTGTAACAACTTAAGAAGATCTGCATCTTTACCTGTCAACTCTAACGTATGCTTAAATTTTTCTGTACTATCAACCTGAGCATCGGCAAGATTTTGAACAAGTTTTTCTAACGAAGCGCTTAAGAAGAGATTTGAGTCAATAAATCGCAAAGTGTTCAGCCTGAAAGACATAAATTGTTCAATGCTGAGTGGTATGCATTCAATCCTCACTTTTTCCCAAACATGTGAAGCTTGCATAATTATGTGACTGTCATAGCGACGTAAATTGTGAAACACAACTGGGAGAAAATTTCTTCTCTTTCTATAATTAATATTGCAATCACTGTGAGCGGCCCCCCTGAATGCCCCAGTAATATGGCAATGATCCCTGACTTTTTTTTTACACCCGGTCTTCTGAAAAGCTTTTTTGCAAAGAAAACATACAGTAGCTTTTTCAAACTGGATTTCATCTTCACTGGTCCAAATCATTTCTTTAGGGCTACTGGAAATTGTACGAAACCATTTTTCTTCCTTTTTCATAGCATAAATAAACTTTTTTGCAGCATCAGCCCCTGTGTAACATTTAAAGCGTTTAGTTAGCTTTTCTGTTATTCCCACAACTTTGTAAGCATAGCCAGAAGGTTTGTGAACATTAAGTGTTTGACTTTGCTTCTTTTTCGGATCATTCTCTACTGGAGATAGAATACATTCAAAATCTGCATAAATGACAACGGGAACTTTAAGACGCTTATCCATTCCTTTAGTTCTATAGGAAAGTAAATTTTTATCCAGTTCGGGCAACTTAAATATTTGGCCATTGTAAGTTCGACACGTCTGAATGTGCTCCTTAACTCTACCCTCATCTTTGGAGTGATAAAAACAAAAGTGACAATAATTATGACTGTTTCTATCCTTCTTCTGGTTTCCCATAAGTCTGGACCATTTTTTTATCCAGCAGTAATGTCCCTTGTCTCCCTCAGTAATTAGAAGAAGATTGATATGTTTTTGTGCTTGTCTTTTCTCTGTAATGTGCAGAGGTTTAAAATTAAAGTTCTTGTCATAGCTAAGTACATTTATAGAATAGTCATTTTGATTTTCAAATGTTTGAACATCTTCAATCTTTATAGGGAAAGTTAAGCCTTCAAAATTTAGAGGAAAATGCGAATTTCTATAATAAGAAACTCTTTGACCATCTTTTTCACGATTATGTAAAGCAGCCAATATGCTCCATTTAAAACATTCATTGTCATTATTCTTAACATTAATTATTGCCCCTTTTCGAAGCTGCGCAGGTGTTTTGATGTAAGAAGATCCAAACAGTGGCTTATAATGAACAATATGAATTTGTACTTCTGACACTTCTTTCAGTGTCCAGTTGCTACCTTCACGTTGATATTTAGCGATGGAGTCTAAAATTTTCAGAAAAGCATTGCCCAGCTTTTGATTTAAAATGCTCACTTCTTTTTCTAATACCACAAGGCCAGACTTTTTTATTTCGTCCCCTTTTTTTAACACTACGAAATTGGAACTTCTGAAAAATGGTTGAGACTCTACAACACCGTCCTTTACATCTTTGGTGAATTTAATTTGCAAAGCGACGTAAGCTTTTAGTGTGCCTTGATTTTTTATAAAACTTTGAATATATTCCACTAATTTGTCTTTGAAATATTCTAAAGCCAGAGCAGCATCCATTTTGTTTTCCTCCTTGAGTTCATATTTGTTCACCACGACAGAACCATCCAAAGCCGTCTGCTGTGTATTGGGGTGTTTCTTTTGTACATGTCTTTTGAGCGAATCCTTTCTTGAGAAGGTTTGATTACAGATATAACAAGTCGCCTTTTCGTCCTTGGGTTTACTGTCGTGATCATTTTTCTTATGTCTTTTCAAGGTTTTTTGTTCTGTGAAAGTTTTGCGACATATTTCACATTGTAGTTTTTCCTTTTTCTTTTGTGGCCCTTCAGTTTGCGAACTGTTTGTATTTGTTTGTCGTTTACTCCTAAAAAGAGATATACACTATTAAAATAAATAAACAAAAACAAATAAATAAAACATAGTAGCAAAGAAATTTAATACTTAAACTACATTTTCCCAACAAATTTATCTAGAGTAGTGCCATGATGTGTCGGTTATGAATTCTTGGCACCGATATTTATGTCCCAATAGGTTCTAAATAATTGCACCATGCACTTTTTGTAAGCAACATTATACAATATAGCATAGAGAACTAATTGTAGCTCGAGATCATTTTAAAGTGTCTACACATTATTATTAACTGCGGTCTTACATTTCCAACTGTTGTAATTTTCTTCACACTTCCATGTTTCGTGTTATTTGTAAAAACACATTTGATAATCACGCTGATCTAACGAGACCCTAATCCCTAGCACATTTGATAATCACACTGATCTAACAAGACCCTAATCCCTAACAGATTTGATAATCACAATGATCTAACAAGACCCTAATCCCTAACAGATTTGATAATCACACTGATCTAACGAGACCCTAATAGATTTGATAATCACAATGATCTAACAAGACCCTAATCTAACGATATCCTAAATCC